GATCTCTAGCATACAGTAAATAGAATTACAGAATGTGACCTTTGTTAACGTTTTTAATAACCATAGCATTCACATAGCACATACACTCCCTCTATGAGTAGCTATTTATTGTATATACTCGAGTATAAGCCTAGTTTTTCAGACCCTTTTTAGGCTGAAAAAGCTCCCCTTGGCTTATACTTGAGTCAAGGTTATTTATGATTTTACTGTTATTTGTATTATTTTATTACATTTATTATTTCACTCTAATTATTATTATTATTATTATTATTATTATTATTATTATTATTATACATTATTTTACTCTATTATTATTTTACTGTATTTATTATTGTTTTATTATATTTATTATTCTACTCTATTATTATTGGAAGGATATGTAAGCACATTTACACTGAAGAAGGTGAGAATAATCCATGCCTTAGTCACCTCCAGATTGGATTACTGTAATGCACTCTACGTGGCGCTGCCCTTGAAAACGGCCCGGAAATTTCAATTGGTTCAACGGGCGGCAGCCAGGTTAACTGGTGCTCCTTACAGGGAGCGGTCAACTCTCCTGTTTAGGGAGCTCCATTGGCTGCCGTTCATTTTCCGGTCTCAATTCAAGGTGCAGGTTCTTACCTACAAAGCCCTGAACGGTTTGGGGCCCGCCTACCTGCGTGGCCACATCTCTGTGTACGAACCCACACGATCTCTTCGATCATCTGGAGAGGCCCTGCTCACACTCCACCTCCATCGCAGGCGCGATTGGTGGGGACGAGGGAGAGGGCCTTCTCAGTGGTGGCCCCTTGACTCTGGAACTCGCTTCCCAAGGACATCCGGGATGCCCCAACTCTGGCAATCTTTAGGAGGAGCCTGAAAACGTGGTTGTTCCAGTGTGCCTTTCCAGAACAAATGAAACTCTCAGCAATATGTCCTCAAAATGCACTTTATTATTGATTTAGGATTGATTTGCACGCCCTATCCCCTCTGAAATTTCTATCCCAGTTATCTCCTACCTTGCTCATGCCCAGCATTATTTTTTAAATTTAAATTTTACATTTGGCCCAGCCATAGGTTTTTAAATGCTTGTTGTGTTACTGTATTGCTTATTTTTATTTTTGCTTATGAGATATATTTTAACTGTTTTGTATTGTTTGTTGCTATTGCTTATTTTTGTATTGTGGGCTTGGCCTCATGTAAGCCGCACCGAGTCCCTTGAGGAGATGGTAGCGGGGTAGAAATAAATTATTATTATTATTATTATTATTATTATTATTATTATTATTGGTTTCATCAGAGTTGGACAGTCTTGTCTTAAATTACAATTTCAGGTAAATATTCAAAAGCATTTAACCTACTGATGCCTCAATATAATATAATTTTATTTCTTTATTTCTTTATTTACGGCATTTATATGCCGTCCTTTTCACCCCAAAGGGGACTCGGAGCGGCTTACAAGACATATTTTCATACAATATATTATATTATTAGTATAGTACAATATCAGTATTATCTATTACTATATTGCACTATACCATTATAGTGTAATATTATTAGTAATAGTGCATTTAATGTAAATATATAATTATAATTATAATGTTGTATTATTATTACTAGTAAATAATGATTACTAGTAAATAAATTATTGGTATTTATTTTTATTTTGAAATTGACCATTAGCTGCTGCATTTCCCACTCTCAGCTTATACTCGAGTCAATAAGTTTTCTCCGTTTTTTGTGGTAAAATTAGGTGCCTCGGCTTATATTTGGGTCGGCTTATACTCAGGTATATACGGTATATTGTGTACATGAGAACGAATCAAGTGAAAGTAGTCTGCCATATAAGATCATTAGCACTGGAGAGCCCCTGATGGTGCAATGGGTTCAACCCTTGTGTCGGCAGGATTGAAGACAGACAAGTCGGAGGTTCGAATCCGGTGAGAGTGTGGATGAGCTCCCTCTGTCAGCTCCAGCTCCCCATGCGGGGACATGAGAGAAGCCTCCCACAAGGGTGGCAAAACATCAAAACACCCAGGCGTCCCCTGGGCAACATCCTTGCAGACGGCCAATTCTCTCACATTAGAAGCAACTTGCAGTTTCTCAACTGATATCGAGTGATATCTCACTAGACTTTGACTTCCAGTTTGGCATTCTTCAACGCTATGGCGCAATGCTACATGTGTTTATTACTGGGGTTTGAATGGAAACATCCAGTCACATAAAAGCCTTTAAAAAGGGAATGTACCCTCATCATTGGCTTAAAAAAGAGTTAACATGAATACTTTTTGGAAGGGGGTATTGGTCAGCAATATCATAAAAGGAATTAAATGGATGCCATATCTCCCTAGTCTATATATATATATAAATGCTCTGTGCATAACGAGTACCTTAAAACCAAAAGAACCAATGAACGAAATTGCACCAAATTTGGCAACAAAACGTCTCACAACACAAGGAGTGACCATCACTCAAAACATTATGATTTTGTCATTTGGGAGTTGTAGTTGCTGAAATTTATAGTTCACCCACAATCAAAGAGCATTCTGAACTCCATCAACGATGGAATTGAACCAAACTTGGTACACAGGACTCCCATGAGCAACAGAAAATACTGGAAGTGTTTGGAGGGCACTGACCGTGAGTTTGGGAGTTGTAGTTCACCTACATCCAGAGAGCACTGTGGACTCAAACAATGATGGATCTGGACCAAACTTGGCACGAATATTCCATATGCCCAAATATGAACACAGATGGAGTTTGGGGGAAATAGACCTTGACGTTTGGGAGTTGTAGTCACTGGGATTCACAGTTCACCTACAATCAAAGAGCATTCTGAATGAACCCCACGAGTGACAGAATCGGGGCAAACTTCCCACACAGAACCCACATGACCAACATAATATACTTAAGGCCATCCAGTCCAACTCCCTTCACCAGGGCAAGAAAACGTAATCAAAGCCCTCCTGACAGAGAGCCATCCAGCCATAGATAGATATAGATAGATAGATAGATAGATAGATAGATAGATAGATAGATATGATTCACACACACAGATATAGTATCCTAGATTTGAAAGGGACCCCTAAAGAAGGACAATGATATGTTGCATGTTCCATAGGAGGCAAACCAGACAATCTCCATATCAACACTGACAAAGAAGCAGCAAGAAATACTGTTTACCCACAAGCAGAAAGACATTACAGATATTAGAAACTAACACTTTCTCATTATTTTATTTTCCAGATCAACAGACTGGGCCACAGCAAAGCGTGGCAGGGGACAGCTAGTTCCCCATAAAGAGCCACTTTTCAGCTCAAACGAACCTACTTCAGTTGATGAGCAGCTGAAAAGCAGACGGGAAAAGCTAGCGCACACATTTTTACATAGACCAGGCATGGGCCAACTTTGGCCTTCCCTCCACGTGTTTTGGACTTCAACTCCCACAATTCCTAATAGCCTATTGGCTGTTAGGAATTGTGGGAGTTGGAATTAATAGTAATTAGTGGCCAGGCATAAGACTGAGGTGGCAAGGAACAGTAATTTAATGTTAAAAAATGACCTAATAACTCAGTGTTGTAAACTCAGTCACTGTGTGGAAGCAAAGTCCAAACAAACTTATAAAAATAGCTAAATTTAACCTTACAGGGTCACAAATGCCAATTACCAGAGTACGCAGAAAGCTGTGGCTCGTTTCTCAGCTAATCTTTGAAATCCCTGTACACTCTTTCCTATGCTCTTGAGGCCTGGGTATGTAACTTGCTCAGAAGGGCTTTCTCTCGAGAAGTTTTTCCCAGGCAGCAGAGGAGTGTCTGCTTCTGTTGAAGGCTGGTTTGCAGCTGAACAGATGCCTAGCAGCTCCTGGCCTCATTTTCCTCAGCTGGCCCTTCTTACAACTGAGCTGCCTGTTTTGTTTTGTTTTGAGTTTTGTTTTTTTGGTCAGGAGCGACTTGAGAAACTGCAAATCGCTTCTGGTGTGAGAGAACTGGCTTCTGCAAAGATGTTGCCCAGAGGACGCCCGAATGTTTTGATGTTTCACTATCCTTGTGGGAGGCTTCTCTCATGTCCTCGTATAATAATAATAATAATAATAATAATAATAATAATAATAATAATAATAATAGCCTGTTCTAATATAATCTAGAACCCTAGAGTTTGAAGAAATCATCCTGTCCAAACTCCCACCATGCAGGAATACACACTCAAAACATTCCCAGCCTCCCACTCTCTTCACAGAAAGAGACTCCACCATCCTCCAAGGCAGCATATTCCATTGCTGAACAAAAGCTTTTACCATCAGGAAATTCTTCCTCATATTCAGATGGAATCACTTTCCCTGCAGCTTGAATCCATTGCTCTGGGTCTTAAAACTCTGGAGTAACAGGAAACAAGCTTGTAATCTACATATATTATGCAATCTATTGATTGACTACTTTCAAAACATACATCCTGAGAAATATTCAGTGAAGTTCTGATTGACAGAGATTGTTCTTTTGAATGATTTTGTAAGCAAACATCTAGCAATGCTCATCCCCATGGTCCAAAGTTTGTTCTTAGCCAAAGAGCATGCAATAATTAGTGCTTTGCTTGTCTGATGGGACATTTGGGAGGGGAGGGGAAGAGTCATCATGTCCTCCCTATATGAGTCTTTAGAACAGTAGTTCCCAACCTTTCTTTGACCAGGGACCATTTTGACCAGGGACCTCTCTCCAACATTAGTACCAAAAGGGTTACCAATCAGTTTTTGGTCAACTTTAGAATCAGTTTGGTTATTTGGGATGCTGATTCAGAAGATTGCATTGACTACACCACATCAGCTGAAGTTTCTGACACAGAACATATGCTATCCAGTAGTCACCATCTGCTTGCCCACAGAAAACCATATTTAATCTAGAGCCTTATTTTAGGTCTCGCGGTCCACAGGTTGGGAACCACTGCTTTAAAGACATACCCTGAAACATACCCACCAACGTTACACTGAATGAACTTGTCCTAGTTGACCCAAACCACAAGACAAAATCCATCTGAAATGAGCAACTTTATTTTCCAAAACATATATTTATGATTCATAAGGATACCTTTAAATTAAATTTATTAAATTACTTAACACTGAACTGCAGTATCGTTTAACCAGGAAAAACACTTTCAAGATTCCTTGTGGAAGTCACAATCCTTTGGAAATCACAAACGTCAAGCTCTTTTTCTCTTTACCTGCACGGAACAGTCTGGATTTTCTTGATAGTAAACCCACCCCAATGTTCTCATTCCCTAGATATTCTCACAGATCATACGATGGGCAACCCTCTTCAATCAACCACCTTCAGGACAACAGAGGTGATGGCCTAAGCCATTGGAGGTAGTGTTCCTGGCAAGGCCCAGAAAGGTGGGCCTTTGCAATCATGGCTAAGGCACGTTGGCTGCTCATGAAAGGTACAGTGGTGGTGTACATGCAAGTTATTTCATCATCTGTCTCACTCTGTTTTCTTTCCCTTGTGAAGAAGGTTCCAGATTCTGCAGTAGTCAATTCAGACCTTAAAAAGGGATCAGGTGGACTTAATTTAAGAGACATCAATACACCTTGATCCCAAAACTGAAAGTACAAGAAGGGGGGAATTAACATATTGGTTGGTAACTTGTTAGTGGCATATGTAAACGTAAGTTGCACTATGAATGTAGAGAGAGTCTTTTAGACAACAGTCAATGGCGGCATAAGCAGGGTTGCACACAGACCAACTGCGCATACGATAGCACACAGAATGGGGAAAACGTTATTTCTCCGTACTTTGCAATTATGCAATAGGCTGTCAGCCATGAGATTTAACCACTGACCTACATACATTGTGTCATGTTGCTATTTAGCATCACAACTGCGTAACGCAGTGGTTCTCAACCTGGGGTCCCCAGATGTTTTTGGCCTACAACTCCCAGAAATCCTAACAGCTGATAAACTGACTGAGATTTCTAGGAATTGCAGGCCAAAAACATCTGGGGACCCCAGGTTGAGAACCACTGGTGTAACGTATTTCCGCCAGCAGATATTTACGCTACACTGAAGCAATGTAGGATCATTGTCATTCCATCTGACCCAAAGCCAGATCCAAACAGCCTCTCGCAATCATTGACTTTATGTCCAAGTTGGGCACATACATCCAACCTGGAACACATTTCTGAAATATCTGGACCAACTCCCCTTGCCCTGCCTATTATATAGAGGCAACATACTTCATATTCATCCCACTTTTAAGCCCTAAAAACAGTTGTGAGTGATAATGGTAAAAATACTTCTTGGAGAGGCAGAAAAAAGGGCTGTGCCATCTCGGGTTCAATTTGTGAGAAACATTATTTCTGTTCTCTTGCTCTACAATGGACACTTCTCCACTTGATGGGCCAGCCTTTTTTTACCTGTAGAAAAACCCAGGTCCATTCTCTACCATCTACAGATAAGCTAGGGAGAGCTTCCTTCCCCAAACCCTGGAAAGCTCCTTCTGGTCAGCATCAACACTTCTGGATTGACTCAGGAGAAGGCAGGTTTCTGTGCTCTTCCTCCCTTTGTATTATAATCCTGTTCCTGCAGGGAAGCAATGCTCATATGCCGGAGGAAAGAAGCCTAAAGTTTATACTGAAAAACAGATTTGGAATAACGGACAGAGAAAGAGAGTCATTAAACACATACAGATACGTCCTTCACAGAAGGAGAATTACTTTCAGTCAAGTGCCTGGAAAACAAACAAACATTCAGTTCACCTCAAATGTTTTCAGTTTAAAAAAATTAAAAATCTAAGAAATACTGAAGGGCATTGTCCTCTTCTGCTGCAGTCTGCAGAAGCATAACAAATGGATTGGAGATAAATATGATCAATATCACCGACTCCGGTCATCCTTCACATCTTTCTCTCCTGGCCATCCTAGACTCTTCACTGCATAGGGGACTTGAACCAGAACACTTTGCATCATCTTCATCGCAGCAGGAAAACAAAGATGGGTAACACCCCGTGATTCTCAATGCGGTTGCCAATCACTCCACGAGGCAACTCAGACCCAGTTATAAAGAATGGTAAACAGCCATCTCTCAGAGTGGGAAGGCAACAGTGATAGCAGACGTATTTGACTTCTGTAGGAAAGTCTGTGGTATCATTCTTGAGAACTGGCTTTGGTCACTGGAAAAAGTACAACTTTGACACTAGTAACAATGTCAGGGCTTCATTTCCTAAAAGCCATGCAACGGGTCAGGTGAAGGGCACCAACAGCTCAGGGCTCCTGCCTTCCCTTGTCACCAATGTCCTCCTCTTTCCAGGACCATCTACATTTTCCCCTGCGGCTGATGCATCTAATACAAGCTTCTTCCCCAGCCTGCATGTCCTTTGAGCAACACTGCAGGGTCTCAGTCAATATGGGTGAGAACAGACAGCCACACGAGGCTCCAGTTGGTGCATCAGCCAGCTCAGGGTGGGAAAGTGGGTATCCATGTTCCATCAGAAGTAAGTGAGGTTCTTGATGAGTCCCACTTCGAGCATCTTTTTTATTGCTGATGCTTCGTGCGAAACATTGTGCCCTGATGTCTGCAAAACAACAGAAATCCATTAGCCCATACAGCATGCTGGTTTGTCTTTCAAATACATTAAAATGATACGGTTAAATTATGTCACAGAATAAATAAATAATAATAAACTTTATTTGTACCCCGCTACCATCTCCCCAAGGGACTCAATGCGGCTTACATGAGGCCAAGCCCAAAGTACATCAAACAAAAATATCAATAAACACAATGTATTGTCGAAGGCTTTCCTGGCCGGAATCACTGGGTTGTTGTAGGTTTTTTCGGACTGTATGGCCATGGTCTAGAGCAGTGTTTCTCAACCTTTCTAATGCCGTGACCCCTAAATACAGTTCCTCATGTGGTGGTGACCCCTAAACATAAAATTATTTTCGTTGCCACTTTATAACTGTAATTTTGCTACTGTTATGAATCATAATGTAAATATATTTTCATTGTTACAAATTGAACATAATTAAAGCATAGTGATTATTCACAAAAACAATATTTGGGGAGGTTGGACAATGGATGATGGGATCTGCAGTAACTTCAAACGATTCAGCTCTGACTTCCACAGACATGGGTCGCCCGGCTTGGGGGGTGTGAGCCGGGTGTCCCAGGCTCTGAGGCAGGGCCTGGGCCCTGTGAGGAGCAATTTTGAGGAGGCAGGGCCAAAGGAGGTAGCCTTGCAACCCCTCCAAAATGGCCAAGCGACCCCCAGGTTGAGAACCACTGGTCTAGAGGCATTCTCTCCTACGTTTCGCCTGCATCTATGGGAAGCATCCTCAGAGGTAGTGAGGTCTGTTGGAACTAGGAAAAAGGGTTTATATATCTGTGGAATGACCAGGGTGAGACAAAGGACTCTTGTCTGTTGCAGCTAGGTGTGAATGTTTCAACTGACCACCTTGATTAGCATACAATGGGCTGACTGTGCCTGGAGCAAACTTTTGTTGAGAGGTGATTAGATGTCCCTGCCTGCTTCCTCTCTGTTGTTGTGCTGTTGCATTTTTTGAGTGTTTTAATACTGGTAGCCAGATTTTGTTCATGTTCATGGTTTCCTCCTTTCTGTTGAAATTGTCCACATTTATTTATTTATTTGCGGCATTTATATGCCGCCCTTCTCACCCCGAAGGGGACTCAGAGCGGCTTACAATATATATTTTCATACAATATATTATATTATTAGCATAGTACAATATCAGTATATATTACTATATTGCACTATACCATTATATTGTAATATTATTAGTAATATTACATGTAATGTAAATAAATAATTATAATTATAATACTGAATTATTATTACTAGTATTATATTGTATTACATTATAATATTATAAATATTATATGAATATACAATATACTATATTATATTATTAGTAAAGGCAAGATGCTTGTGTATTTCAATGGCTTCTCTGTGTAGTCTGACATGGTGGTTGTGAGAGTGGTCCAGCATTTCTGTGTTCTCAAAAAGTTTGCTCCAGGCACAGTCAGCCCATTGTATGCTAATCAAGGTGGTCAGTTGAAACATTCACACCTAGCTCCAGCAGACAAGAGTCCTTTGTCCCACCCTGGTCTTTCCACAGATATATAAACCCTTTTTCCTAGTTCCAACAGACCTCACTACCTCTGAGGATGCTTGCCATAGATGCAGGCGAAACGTCAGGAGAGAATGCCTCTAGAACATGGCCATACAGACCAAAAAAACCTACAACAACCCATCAATAAACACAACATCAATAAACAATCAATAAAATACAAATCATATAAATCACATAAACAAAAACAACCAACATAAACAATTTTAAGTGGCCGGGCCAAATGTAATAGATTAAAATTGAAAATATGCTGACGTGAACAAGGTAAAATATAACTAGGATAGAATTTTTCAGATTGCAAGTTTATGTTGCTCAATGCAGCCTCTACATTGCTGGATGCAACTTTGGCAACTCTGGTAGAGATTTTTCCTTCCTTTGCTAAGTTATGTACCGTTCTGAGACCGATGGCTCCAACGCCAAAAAGTTCTTCTCATTAGGAAGATTCTCCTCACATTTAGCCAAAAATCTCTTTGCCACATTTTTCACTAATTGGTTCGTCTTGACATTTGGACTGACGACAACACTGTTCTTTTGTGCAACAGCCATTCACATTTAGACAATGGAAAGCAGCCATTGGAAACTTGTGACTGGCAGAATGGGAACCCCAAAATTTTGAGATGAGATGTTGCTCACTGTCTGGCCAACTTGTGCCTGACCACCTTGCTAGAATCAGGAGTTTCAACTGAGGGTAGTACCTAGCCTACTTGACCTTTTCTTCCCCGAGCTACGTTTTCCCATGTCTTTCAACTGTTCTTCACAGGACTTGGTCTCTAGGACTCTCACCATGATGGCTGCCCCCGACAGTTTGTCAATGTCCTTCTAGAGTTATGACACCAAGAAAATAATCGAAGGATGTCTCGTGTTGTGGCTCTGTCTGAGCCTGAGACTGAACTGTCTGGGCCTTACGCTGGGCCTTCTGGGCCTGTTGGGCCTTCTGAGCCTGACTTTCTGCAGGATGATGAGGAGGCTGATGGGTTACAGATTTCTGAACATGTTCCAAGTAGTGAGACAGATGGGGAAGAAGAAGAAACAGCAAGTCTGTTCCTTAGAGAAAGGAATGTTCCTTTAGATAAAGATAGTGAAACTCCGCAACTGCAGGTGGAAACTCCTTTCACTTCCCAGGGGGATCAGACCCAACTGGGCCAAGATAATGAGTTGTCCAGCCTTTAAGATAATAGTGAATTAATGAGTAGACAGGATTGTTTACAATTAAAAATTCGCAGAAGCACACGCCTTGCCAGCAAGCGTGAAGCCAAAGGTCAATGCAATGCTTTCATGTCAAGGAAACTTATTTAATGATGTTGCCGACAGGCATTTCCTGTCAGTCCAATGTTGCTCTTTCCCTGTTAACTTCTGTGGAATTACCTTGGCTTTTGTGGAAAGCTTCTGGCTACTCTGAGACTTGGATTTTGATCCTGATTTCATCTCTCTACCATGGAATCTCGTTTTACCATTGCTAAGGGATTATGCTTCATGTTATTTGCCTTTGGATCTTGGGAACCTTGCCTTTACATTTAAGACTCTGTTTTGCCTATTGAACTTTTGCATCTTTATTTCTCTGTTTTGATTTTGCTTTTTCTCAATAAACTACAAAACCTACAGCCTTGGTGTGTGGTGGTGTCTTGGGCAAGGTGGAAACTACCCTGAGTTGCGACATCTCTGTTGCTGTTTGTATTTTAGGACATGTTCTTCACAGATGAATAATCTAGGGACCATAGCACACTTCACTATGATTGCTTGGTTGAATATGGGATAGAGCTTCCACTGGTTCAATATCAATATAGAAGACTTATACAAAGTTCAATCAGAACTAGAACACATCTCTTCCATCACCTCGTCTTAGCTGACGCAGCCCCTCCCAGTACAATGGTGGATGGAAAATGGGGGAGAGAGGAAGGAAGAAAAGGGGCAAGCAAAGTGCCCAGATGCCTCCTATAGTTGGATGCACAAGAATAACATTCACTTCTGAGAGGATACAGAGAATATTTATTCTTGTGTCCAGAGCCGGCAACTTTTGAATGATAGATGGCTGCATTAACTCCCCCAAAAGACCTTGGAGGATTGTGTTTTGGGGGCTTTTTAACAAAGGAAGTGAGCAGAAGTCACTTCTTCTTTACTTCTACTTTCAAAGAAGGCCTCTGTTGGGCCTAAAATGATATGAAGATAATGGAAATGCCCCCAGACATCATAGAGGGATTCTCTGTTGCTTGGGAGAAAGGAATGTCCAACCGCCTTCGAGCTGGACTGCCCAACCTAACTGCCCAAGGTTCCTTATGGAGATCCCCATAAAAACAGAACTCAATGTGGTAATATGTAAGTTCCAAGACTGCTAATGAGTTTTCTATTACAAATAAAACTGGAAATTCTAGGGAAATTGTATGGAATCCTGCTGTCTGCTCACATGCAAAAAGGCAGTGAATATGGGCAAAATAATTATTCATATCTTGGCTTACTGAACTAAGTAAGGGATGACAATCCAAACTCTCATTTCAACAAGACAGATGCACCTACTCACAGCCATAGACTTTACGGTGATTTGCTCATAATAGTGAATAGATTGCTTCTTGTTGGCAGAGTCTGGGTATCCAAAGCCCGCAATGTGGACCACATCACAGAAGTGCAAGGCTAACGTGATCGCCACCAAGCCTGTAGTTGGTTTCTAAAAGAAAAGCAACAGGACAGATTGTTACTCTCCTATAAATGTATCCTTCCTTGTACAGCTTCTATGGTGAATGAGGAGTTCAGATCCACATTGGAACTTCAAATGTGACATATCTCAATAAATAATAATAATAATAATAATAATAATAATAATAATAATAATACAACTTTATTTATATCCCACTCCATCTCCCCCAGGGAGACTCGGTGCGGCTTACATGAGGCCATAACCAAAAATACAGCAACACAATATAACACAAAAATATCTCAAATCTGCCTTTACATTTCAGGAAGCTGCAGCTGTTCTCCTTTTGTTAAAGAAGTGCTGTTTTAGAAAATATTCCCACTTAACATTGATATGACTTAGAAAATTTTGTACTAATCATCATAATGACTGGGTATGATGGGAATTGTAGTCCACTGCATTTGGCAGATGTCATGTTGGAGAAGGCTGAATTAAATCATCAAAGGACCTTAAAGGCAGGCTTTCCTTGCAGGAAAATGAAAATACGGTCTATTAATTATATTGTCGAAGGCTTTCATAGCCAGAATCACTGGGCTGTTGTAGATTTTTTCGGGCTATATGGCCATGTTCTAGAGGCATTCTCTCCTGACGTTTTGCCTGCAACTATGGCAAGCATCCTCACTACCTCTGAGGATGCTTGCCATAGATGCAGGCGAAATGTCAGGAGACAATGCCTCTAGAACATGGCCATATAGCCCGAAAAAACCTACAACAACCCTGTCTATTAATTGTTAGGACTCCCATCATCCAAAGGGCTCAAATGTCTTCAATATACAACAACAAAAGTCTCCAATCTCATATCCATATAATCTACCCCTTCTTTCTGTTGTCTGTTTTGGTTTGTTTTTAATAGAGCTCACCCTCTTACCTGTTTAAACTTTCTCAGCTGCTTCATTGGTATGTTTAGCAATTTAGCAGCCGTAACTTCCATAAAATATGGATTCAGGATTCTCACTTGCTCTGGATTTGCATCCCAGATTAATGGAGGTTGTTTCCAGAAGCCCTTCCGAATCTGAAAGGAGAATAAACATGGAGAAGTCAGTCATGTGCTCTTGAATGAAACCTGAGCTTGGTTAAATATTGAGGAAACAGGAAGGTAAGGTTGGAAAAAAGTCAATTTCAGCAGGGTTGTTTAGGTATTACTGTATATACTCAAGTATAAGCCTAGTTTTTCAGCCCCTTTTTAGGCTGAAAAAGTTCCCCTCAGCTTATACTCGAGTCAAGGTTATTTATTATTTTACTCCGTTATTAGTATTATTTTTATTTCATGCATTATTTTACACTCTTTATTATATTACATTTACAGTATTTTACCCTATTATTATTATTATTATTACATTTATTATTTTACACTATTTATGATTATTATTACATTTATTATTTTACTTTATTCTTACTGCATTTCATATTTTACTCTATTATTACATTTATTATTCTACTCTATTACTACTGTTATTAGTGCATTTCCATTATTTTACTTTATTATTATATTTATTATTTTACTCTATTATTGTTGGAAGGATACGTAAATACATTTACATTGAAGATATGTAATGAATTAATCAGAGTTGGGCAGTCTTATCTCAAATTACAGTTTTATGTAAATATTAAAAAACATTTCACCTCCTGATGCCTCCATTAATGTAATTTTAATGGTATCTATTTTTATTTTGAAATGTACATGTAGTGGCTGCATTTCCCACCCTTGACTTATACTCAAGTCAATATGTTTTCCCAGTTTTTTGTGGTAAAATTAGGTGCTTCAGCTTATATTTGGGTCAGCTTATACTCGAGTATATACAGTACTTCTTGGGAACAAATTTATTTTACTTTCCTTGGATTTCTATGTTTCCATCACATCTTAAGATGGCTTGTGGTGACAACATGGCTGTGTAGTAAAGACTGATAATTCTTTGAACGGCTGCTATAATTACGTTCACCCAAAACTCACTCTACCAGATAGATTAGTATTGTTCTCATTTTATACCTGGGGAAACTAGATGAGATTTTAACATGCTCACATGGCAAAAATCATAGAATTAGATTTATTTATTTATTTATTTACACCATTTCTACCCCGCACTTTTCACCCCCAAGGGGGGACTCAGGGCGGCTTACACAGGCAGCAATTCGAAGCTGCAATATCAGTAACACAATAAAAAAAAATCATAATACATAGCAAATTAAAACAGTTACAATCAATTAAAATCACAAAAACACATAGTGACATAATCACAATAATCACAAAGTCACAAAGCCGTTTCCAATTGTCGTAACAGTCTTATGGTCCGGGTTCAGTGTCTAAAGTGCTGCTGTGCCCACCAGCCAAAGGACTGGCTCCAAAACCATGTTTTTAGTTTTTTCCTAAAAGTAAGGAGGAAGGACGCCGATCTGATCTCACTGGGGAGCGAATTCCACAAGCGGGGGGCCACCACTGAGAAGGCCCTGTCCCTCGTCCCCACCAGACGCGTTTGCGAAGCTGGTGGGACTGAGAGCAGGGCCTCCCCAGTACATCTTAAATTACGAGGTGAAACGTAGAGGGAGATACGTTCGGACAAGTAAGCTGGGCCAGAGCTGTATAGGATTTTATAGGCTAAGACCAGCACTTTAAGGGTATCACAAGATCATCTAGTCCAAGTAAAGCACATCAGAAAGATGTCCATCCAGCCTCTCTTTAAAGACCTTCAGAAATGAAGTCTATACACTGTATGGTGAAATAACGAAACCAGATATTGGAAGCTTCTAACCTTCCTAAAGTATGCCCACCGAGGGACCATCAGCATGGAGAATAACCCCCCTCCCCACCCCGAATACACGCACACAAACTGGAACTTTAGATTTCCCATATTTGATTTTGAAGTCATCTTGTGCACAATAATTCAGGAACTTTCTTAGTAAGCAATTTAATCCTGCTCTGGAGTATGAGATAAAAGCATCATCATCAGTACAGAGCAATAAATGAATTTTCCTTGTTCTGAGCTTGGCAAATGTCCATTAGGATCCAATAGAGTTTCTTCCAGATTGTTAATGAATATTTTGGACAAAGTAGGATCAAGGATGCAGCCTTGTCTGACTGCTGTGGACAACACTCTTGGAGGATAATGATTTGTATCATTAAACAGCTCTATTTTTTTCAATGTCTAATGTTCAACGGCGCTCCATGCAGTCATGCTGGCCACATGGACATCTTGGAGGTGTCTATGGACAACGCCAGCTCTTCGGCCTAGAAATGGAGATGAGCACCACACCCCAGAGTCAGACATGACTGGACTTAATGTCAGGGGACAACCTTTACCTTAATGTTCAAGTGAAATTTATTTTCGTGTAATTTGAACCCACTGGGTTGAGTTCTAGTTTCTGGAGTAGCAGAAAACAAGCTGGCTCAATACTGGTATTCCAGATTCAATGAAATCCACAGGATTATGTGAACACTTATAATATGCTGGCATGCTTCTCAGGTTATGCAGTGGTTCTCAACCTGTGGGTCCCCAGGTGTTTTGGCCTACAACTCCCAGAAATCCCAGCCGGATTACCAGATGTTAGGATTTCTGGGAGTTGAAGGCCAAAACATCTGGGGACCCACAGGTTAAGAACTACTGGGTTAGAAAAAGGTCATAGGACTTGTCTTTCCATCACACATATGCTCCAGCTTGTCCCTCTTTGCAAATAAAGAGAGGAGGGGATTGCCCAAGTGTGCTCCCCTTGGGCTCCCAGTTACTTGTTGTCCATTTGTTCAGTCATTTCCGATTCTTTGTGACCTCATGGACCAGCCCACGCCAGAGTGCCCTGTCGGCCATCACCACGCCCATCTCCTTCAAGGATGCCATCCATCCATCTTGCCCTTGGTCGGCCCCTCTTCCTTTTTCCTTCCATTTTCCCCAGCATCATTGTCTTCTCTAAGCTTTCCTTTCTTCTCATGATGTGGCCAAAGTATTTCAACTTTGTCTCTAGTCTCCTTCCCTCCAATGAGCAGTCAGGCTTTATTTCCTGAAGTATGGACTGGTTGGATCTTCTGGCAGTCCAAGGCACTCTCAGCACTTTCCTCCAGCACCACAGTTCAAAAGCATTTATCTTCCTTCACTCATTGGCTCAGCCTTCCCTATGGTCCAGGTCCCACATCCATAGGTGACTATGGGGAATACCATGGCTTTAACTGTGCGGATCTTTGTTGCCAGTGTGATGTCTCTACTCTTCACTATTTTATCGAGATTGGACATTGCTCTCCTCCCAAGAAGTGAGCGTTTCCTGATTTCCTGGCTGCAGTCGGCATCTGCAGTAATCTTTGCACCTAGAAATACAAAGTCTGTCACGGCCTCCACGTTTTCTCCCTCTATTTCCCAGTTGTCAATCATTCTTGTTGCCATAATCTTAGTTTTTTTTGATGTTTTCTACTTTTTTCTTTCACTTGATTAGAAGGCTCCTCAGCTCCTCCTTGCTTTCGGCCCTCAAAGTGGTGTCATCTGCATATCTAAAGTTGTTAATGTTTCTTACAGCAATTTTCACCCCAGCCTTGCATTCCTCAAGCCCCGCACGTCACATGATGTGTTCTGCATACAAGTTGAATAGCTTGGCTGAGAGTATACAGCCCTGCCGTACGCTAGTTACTTACTCTCTTTTTATCATGGAGAATCGTCTCCATCCACATGAAATCCATGGGTTTGAATGCCACCAGCACCAGCAACGTGTTTGGGTTATTTTCAGTTTTGGGGTTAAAGTGTGCTGACTCTGGATAGAAGAGCCGCATAGTGGTTTTGGAGCCCACATCATGTTCATAACCATGGACGGGAGCATTGTTCAGCCTGGGAATTTAAGAAAATACACAGTGAGGCAAAAGGCATAAACATACATAAACCCAAAAGACGTCTCTCAGTATTTTCCCAAATCATAAAAACAGTGAAATACTAGCCTCTAGTGATGAATGTTCTCCACTCTACAACATAATGATTTTTAAACAGCTGTCTTGTGTCTAATAAGAAAGCATGTCTTTCCCTGTCACTTTACTGCTGTTGGTTGGAATAAGGAGCAAAAATACACCATAGTTATGTGCGGTTAAAAAAAGAACTTGGAATGTACCCATATAATACAAATGGAGCACTTTGGTGTCATCTTAATTCACATGGCTCGACCCAATGGAATAATGGGATTTGAAGCTTCATTAGAAATCTCCACCAAAGAGCTCTAACACAGAATTTCAGGGAATTAAACTAAAGAATTCTAAGAGTTTTGCCAAACTACAAATGGGTGAATTCCATAGGAGGGATCATGACAGTTAAAGTGGGTTTTTTTGTTTTTGTTTTGTTGTGTCAGGAGTGACTTGAGAAACTGCAAGTCACTTCTGGTGTGAGAGAATTGGCCGTCTGCAAGGATGTTGCCCAGGGGACGGCCGGATGATTTTGATGTTTTTATCATCTTTGTGGGAGGCTTCTCTCATGTCCCCGCATGAGGAGCTGGAGCTGATAGAGGGAGCTCATCCGCCTCTCCCCGGATTCAAACCTGCGACCTGTCAGTCTTCAGTCCTGCCAGCACAAGGGTTTAACCCACTGCGCCACCGGGTGTTAAAGTGGTATGACAGTGCTATAATTGTGAGGCATGAATACACTCTCATCTTTGATGAGTAGGTATACGATCTCATACTATTGCTTAACCTCAAGGTTTTGTCATTGGAGTATATGTGTGCCCCCCCCCCCCCGGTGGGAAAGCCTGATTCCACAACCCCCACTATAATGAGTCGTCCTCCCCAAATAATCTGTCTCTCTTTTATCTCACCTGAGTTTTTAATTAGTTTTAATCAGTTTCGCTCTTAATCATTACATGTAGCCCGCCCATTGTCATTGCAATTGTGCCTATTGTAATTTTATATTGCGATGTATTTACATGTTTTATGTAATTATGTTGTTGTTTATTGTTTGCGTTTTCAGTTTATGTTTTTGGTTTTACTTTATTGCAAATTGTTGTTCGGGCTTGGCCTCATGTAAGCCGCTCCAAGTCCCCATTGGGGAGATGGTGGCGGGGTTTAAATAAAGATTATTATTATTATTATTATTATTATTATTATTATTATTATTATTATATAAACAAATTCACTATGTTCAAGGTAATTAGTTCTTCTAGAATTTAAGATTCGGGCCTGGCCTCATGCAAGCCACTCCGAGTCCCCATTGGGGAGATGGTGGTGGGGTATAAATAAAGATTATTATTATTATTATTATTATTATTATTATTATTATTATTATTAAAAGAAATTCACTATGTTCAAAGTAATTAATTCTTCTAGAATTTAAGATCACAAACCCTGGGCATTCCGGTACCTGATCACAACATCATATTTGTTAATTACGTCTCCCATAGAGCTGTTTCGGAGCCGGTGACCATTCCCTACTACTGCGCATCTCCGACACTTCAAACTGCAAAGGAAAATGGAAGATATTAAGTTACAGATCTGTCTGATTTAGTGATTATTATCATCATCTTGTTGTTTTTATCATCATGATCATCATCATCATTTCCCCACTGCAGAGGGGAGGGTCGAATCTTAACAGGCACTGACACAGATAAGTTCACGTAAGACTAACTTATTTACAAAGAAAGATTATAACAAGGATGTTCCTTAACCCTAACTCAGTGTGGTCTGGCCACTATGATACATCAAATGGTCCTCTTGTGAAACTGGAAAACCACACTGTGAATGATTTTATAAATGTAAAGTCATGCTAGTCATTTAAACTTCCAAATAAATGTATTTATTTGGCAACCTAGGAGAAGATTAAAGTGCTTCAAGAGGAGAAGAAAAGGGAGATCTTGAGTTTCCAGTTCAGAAAGTATATTTTCCTGTATTGTTGAAGGCTTTCATGGCCAGAATCACTGGGTTGTTGTAGGTTTTTTCGGGCTATATGGCCATGTTCTAGAGGCATTCTTTCCTGATGTTTCGCCTGCGTCTATGGCAAGCATTCTCAGAGGTAGTGAGGTATATTTTTCTGGTTGTATATTACTTTGAATGAACAAATTAAATAGTTATATATTGACAAACCTAGGAGGTTATGACCTGAGGTTTGGGTGGAACAGCTATTCGCGGAATGATAAGGATAAAGCAAATGTTGATTTTAAAAATCATTTTGTAAGATGTGGCATTCTAAGAATATGGAAGATATAAACCCAGCTTATGTTCTAAAATACCTTTATTTATTTATTTATTTATTTATCAATTTTGTATACCGCCACTCCCCGAAGGCTTGGAGTGGTTTACAGATATGATACATTACATATAAAATCAAGAAGAACTTGGATCCGCAAAATTCAAATGCCACCCTAAATAAATAAGTTTTACAAGCTCTATGAAAAGCAAGAAAATCATGGAGAGTTCGTGTTCCCGATGGCAAATCATTCCACAGATAAGGAGCCACCACCGTGAAAGCTCTACGCTTAGTAGACATCAGGTGAATGGTCCTAAAATTGGGAACTTCAAGGAGATTCTGATCGTCTGAACGAAGTAATCTTGGGGAAATATACTCAACAAGGCAGTGGATAAAAAGAGTACCGAAAAGGTAATGATTTGCTGGTATTAGAAAATGATCAAACTAGATTTAAATGCTAGGAGGAGATAATAAATGATGGTTACTATTTTCACTCATATCAACAGAAACAGCTCTTTGAAAGATTTAAGCCAGATAAAAAGCTCTTTGACTTTGAAAAAGATCCATCTGAGTTTGAAATTAAATTGTTTATGGATAACGAACACTTAATTGGGTCTCTTTTGATGTTAAACATGGAGGTCTTGAAACTTATTGGAAAAACTATATTGTTGCACATGGAGTCACTCTCCACTTTGGAACAGAAGAAGATAGAATCATAGAATCAAAGAGTTGGAAGAGACCTCGTGGGCCATCCAGCCCAACCCCCTGCCAAGAAGCAGGAATATTGTATTCAAAGCACCCCTGACAGATGGCCATCCAGCCTCTGTTTAAAAGCTTCCAAAGAAGGAGCCTCCACCACACTCCGGGGCAGAGAGTTCCACTGCTGAACAGTCAGTAAGTTCTTCCTAATGTTCAGATGGAATCTCCTTTCCATCACGGCAATATGTGAGAAAAGCAACACTGCTCAGTCTTGTTTTAACTCTAAATACCATTCTTGCTCATGTTGTGCGCCCTCAAGTTATTTCTGCTTTATGGCGACCCTAAGACGAAGCTATTTCCAGGGTTTTTCTTGATTAGACTTATTCAAAGGGAGTTTCCCTTTGCCTTCCTCTGAGGCTAAGAGAATGAAACTCGCTCTCAGTCAGTGGTTTCCCACGGCTGAACAAGGATTCAGGGCCCAAATTCAACATTCATATTGCTATACCAAGCAGGCTTTCGGCTGGCTGTGCTGAAGCTTAAACGTCTCAAAACAGCAGAAGAATGTATGAACTTTTAGTACCTTTGCACACTGTCAGGAAGAGAGTAACTTGTGACAGCCAGAAGCCGCAGAAGTATTTCCTCTAGAAAAAAAGAGACAAAAGGCACCAATGAACCAAGTTAACCCATGTTGTGACAAAACAGATATTTTAAGATACCAAGAACATAAGAAGAGAAGTCACCATCCACCAGGATTTCACAAGGACACAGTTCATCAGAGGCAATATCTTTATTTCTTTTAACTCTTTCCTGAAGATTTATTTTTTGTGTCAGGAGTGACTTGAAAAACTGCAAGTCGCTTCTGGTGTGAGAGATTTGGCCGTCTGCAAGGATATTGCCAAACTCAAAACATGGCTATTCGAGCAGGCATTTGCGAATACTGAGTAACGGACATAAGAGCTCTTTTCCTGAAGATGTTGACAAATCAAATACAAAAATTGCTCTTCACTGCTGCATCAATATCTATAATTTAACCATTTTTAAAAATAATTTAAGTTGTTATGCCTTCACCAATACATTATTTACTACTAATTATACTAAAAACTTTTTTAATGTTTTTTTTCTGGTCTGTACTAGTGCAATTGAAAATTAAGATATGACAGACATAGACATAAAGGCATGCCGGATAAGATTTATGAGTTAATAACTACAATCCGGCGTGATTTTCAAAACAATGAAGTCTTCATGAAGCAAACCTTGTAGACAATGGTGGTTCTGTCTTAAATAAGGAAAGAAAGGCAAGGGAACATGTACTTTTCCACCTGTGTATCAAAAGACCTTGAATTGTGTTTATTTTGCGTGCTTCTGCCATGCCAAATTCTTTGGGAAAGTAGAAAGTACTAATACCAATCCAACTATCTATAACTAATGGGGTTTAGTCAGTCGCTCACATGGGGATTGGATGGTACAATACAGTCCGTTGTGTTGTTAAAACTGGTTAATGTTCAGTCAATAGAAATGATTATAAAAGAGCCACTAAGTTGAACACATGCCCGGAGGCTACATGCCATTTTATACTTTGGACCGTTAGAGCGAACACCATCAGGTCAAAACGATGTCAAGGTTAACCGGTCCAGTCAAATAGGGGAAACAATTAATCAATATGTTGAAATGTTGTTGAACAATTTTGCTGTTTCTCTGCTAAATCATACGTAAAGAAACACACTGTACTCAGTGATTCAGTGAATGTCTCATCAGCATCGAGTGAACCCAAATACTGAACTGAATTCTAGTGATGGAAGTCCATAAATCCACAAAATGTCCTTAGAAGCACTTTATTTTATGGTTTGTGCAATGAAATCCTTCCTCATTCCCGGGTCCCCCTCCTTACAATTTACACTGTCCTATCTCCCAGTGTTTTTAATTTTTTTAATATTTTTATCCCTGAATCTGGCCCTGCCCAGTGAAATCTTCTGTGTTTTAAACATTTGATTTTATATTGCCGTGTTGTATATTATTTTGGTTTTGCAATTTTTTTGTATTTTTGTTGGTTTTATTATGTTTTTGTGTTCTATTGTTGTATTGTATTAATGAGCGTGGCCTCATGTAAGCCGCACTGAGTCCCCTTGGGGGAGATGGAGCGGGGTATAAATAAAGTATTATTATTATTATTATTATTATTATTATTATTATTATTTTCTGCCTGCATTCTGCTTAATCTGAGACAAACAAGAAAAACTGATCTTACAGATGGAGTGGAAAATAAGTAGAAATCAAAGCATATCAGGCTCATGTCTCTATGACATGAGTGGTTCTCAACTTTCCTAATGGTGCAACCCCTTCATACAGTTCCTGATGTTGTGGTAACCTCCAACTAAAAAAATATTTTTGTTGCTACTTCATAACTGTAATTTTGCTACTGTTATGAATCGTAATGCAAATATTTATTTATTTACTATGTTTGTATACCGCTCTTCTCAGCCCTCGGGTGACTCAGGGCGGTTAACAAGAAGCAAAATTCAATGCTCAAAAACATCAGAAAACAGTTAAAAACAATTAAAACAATAGCATAATAAAACAGTCAATACAAATCAATAAAACATCTCATTAGTGCCTCATGGTTAAAATCAGGATCCAGTCTCATCAACCAATTGTTCCATATCTGATACGAAGGATGTATTTTCATTCACTGGACCAAATTTGGCACAAATACCTGATACGCCCAAATTTGAATACTGGTGGGGGGGGGGGGGAGGTTGATTTTGTCATTTGGGAGTTGTAATTGCTGGGATTTGTAATTAACCTACAATCAAAGAGCATTCTGAACTCCACCGATGATGGAATTGAACCAAACTTGGCCCACAGAATTCCCATGACCAACAGAAAATACTGGAAGGGTTTGGTGGGCATTTGATGTTGAGTTTTGGAGTTGTAGTTCACCTACATCCAGAAAGCACTGTGTATTCAAGCAATAATGGATCTGGACCAAATTTGGCACAAATACTCAATATGCTGAAATGTGAATACTGGTGGAGTTTGGGGAAAATAGACTTGATATTTATTTATTTATTTGTCGATTTTATATACCGCCACTCCCCGAAGGCTCGGAGCGGTTTACAATATACATATACGATACATTGCATTTAAAATCAAAGAAAATTTGGGAGTTGTAGTTGCTGGGATTTATAGTTTACTTATTATCAAAGAGCATTCTGAACCCCACCAATGATAGAATTGGGCCAGACTTCCCACACAGAATCCCAATGACCAACAGAATATACTGTGTTTTCTGATAGTCTTTGAGTACCCCTCTGACAGCTCCTTGCGACCCCCAAGTTGTTAAATGCTGCTCTATGACCTGACAAGTGTTATTATGTTATAAAATATTCCGAAGAGTAATTATTCCAAAATATTCCAAAGTATTCATAGCAAACCAGAGTGGAAATCCCCCCTCTCCAAACAAATAAACAAGAAAACACAGGAAACTGTGAATTATGCAGAGATGAAGACAAGAACCATGTGTTCAATGGGAAGAGGTGGGTGATTTGCTTACCAGCTCCTTTGGTCCCATATGGCAACTCGTAGGGTGAAGGGGTCCTTACCCAGAAGTAGTCCTTTAGCTGTAAAAATAGTGGATGATCCCGTGTATAACTGCAATGAAGGCAAGAGGAGAAAATCATGCAAATCTGGCATTATGTGTACTCAGACACTGCTACTGTCTTCTACATCTATATGTTCTTATTCACTAGAATTAGCATTGGCAATTTTTCTTTATCTTGACCCATTCTTTTTTATCATAGGCCGAGCAGTAAAGAGATCTACAGAGATCCCATTCACTCAACAGACAGCTAGACAGCTTTAGCACAACAGGTTAATCACCAAGCTATAATAAATCTTGCCAACCAGAAGGCTGACAGTTCGAAGCCCGGGTCAGGGTGGGTGCCTGACTTGTAGCCCAGCTTCCACCTACCTAGCAGTTTGAAAACACATGTGAGTAGATAAATAGGAACTGCATTAAAGCAAGGAGGCATTTAGGCTCAACATTTTAATCAGAAAAGGGAAGATGTTTACTAACAAAGAAAGCTCTTTGGCGAGGAGATGGAGCAACAGCACCCCTTGTGGCCAGAACCAAGCACAACCTCCAAAAATGCCGAAAGATGGCAAAATCCTCTATATATACCTCTATCTGTTGTCTGTCTTGTCATTGTATAATCGGCATTGAATGTTTGCCATATATGTGTTCTGTGATCCACCCTGAGTCCCCTTCGGGGTGAAAAGAGCAGAATATAAATACAACAAAATAAATAAACAAACAAACACACACACACTTACTTTGCTATGAGTTGTGCAGCTTTCTTTTCCACTTCTCCCAGAGGACAAGTCATCCTTTCATCTTGCATAATATGAAAATCAAAACTGTAAGGAAAGACAACACAAGTGGGGTGAGGGAACGTAACAAAAAAAAAAATCTTCATTGGGCTCCATTCATAGAAATTGCATGTACAATTTTTAAAAACAGCACAAGCCCATTAAAAACCATATCTGCTACATTAATCATAAACCAAAAGCTTGGCTGTATAAAGAGATCTTTGCCCACCAGTGGAAGAAAAGAAAGGAGCCGATGAACTGAATCTCTCATTGGAGGGAATGCCACAATCTAGGAGCAGTCACCAAAAAGGCTCTCTCCTGTGTGCCTCCATATATATGGCTGTGATGGAGTTGGGGCTGAAGCAAAGCTTTCCTCCGACAAACTTCGAAAGGCACATTCAAATAATCTGGATCTTAGACAATATAGGTTTCAATAAGAACTTTGAATGCATCCCCAAAAAGACTGATAGCCAGTGAAGCTTTTTCATCGGCAAGTTATATTATGTTTTGTTGATCATTGTAATTTATTCTGGAAATGGATGCTGAAGGACAGAAATATGTTAATCATAGGATCATAGAGTTGGAAGAGACCTCATAGGCCATCCAGTCCAACCCCCTGCCAAGAAGCAGGAAAATCTCATTCAAAACACCCCTGACAGATGGCTATCCAGCCCCTGTTTATAAGCCTCCAAAGAAGGAGCCTCCACACTCCGTGGCAGAGAGTTCCACTGCTGAACGGCTCTCACAGTCAGGAAGTTCTTCCTAATGTTCAGATGGAATCTCCTTTCTTGTGGTTTGAAGCCATTATTCCACGTCCTAGTCTCCAGGGAAGCAGAAAACAAATTTGCTCCCTCCTCCCTGTGACTTCTTCTCACATATTTATACATGGCTGGCATGTATCCTCTCAGCCTTCTCTTCTTCAGGCTAAACATGCCCAGCTCTTTAAGCCGCTCTTCATGGGGCTTGTTCTCCAGACCCTTGATCATTTTTAGTCGCCCTCCTCTGGACATATTCCAGCTTGTCAATATCTCTCTTCAATAGTGGTGCCTAGAATTGGACACAATATTCCAGGTGTGGTCTAACCAAGGCAGAATAGAGAGGTAGCATTACATCCCTAGATCCAGACACTAGATCATGTCTCCTCTTAGCCTTCTCTTCTTCAGGCTAAATATGCCCAGCTCTTTAAGTCGCTCCTCATAGGGTTTGTTCTCCAGACCCTTGATCATTTAAATACATCTATTTTGGGTAATATGAATATTTAACCTTGGGAGAGGGGGTACAACCTATATATAATGGCTTTGGAGCTAGAGGGAGGAAATCATTTGCCTCAGCCCACAGCTCTCTGGCTGACTGCTATAGATGGACATGTTGCATCTAAGGAAATGGGTCCCAAGATACAGAAAACTCATAGTTAAAGTCTGATTTCTTCAGGTCAAAGAGCAAACTACATTTTATATTATTGTCAGTTTTTATTTTGGCATAAAATATGTTTCTAATCCAGTGGAACTAATCTGAACCAAGCTCTTACACAAGTACAGTATATTCTGGCGTATAAGACTACTTTTTAACCCAAGAAAATCTTCTCAAAAGTCAGGGGTCGTCTTATACGCGGGTGTAGTCTTATGCATGGGAGTCGTCTTAACTCTATATTTTAACTGGAAAAGTTGGGGGTCGTCTTATACGCCCAGTCGTCTTATATGCCGGAATATACGGTACTTTTAAAAGGGAGGTACCCAAATTGAACACGCAAATAACATGACATACAGTTGTGCCCAAAGCTCACAGTGGCTGCTGGTGGGGTCAATGGTAAAACACTTGCCCTCTTGATTTTTGGTTTAAAGAAATACACTCACAGCTGTATGTACCTTTCTTCCCGGGATATCGTATACCACACCATCACTCCAAATACAGCTAGTACTCCAAGTATCTTCCATCCTGAACAAAGGAAAGAGACGGCATGTTGCTGATGCTCAGTCATGCCACCTCTAGCTGCACAAGAATACATAAGCAGGAATGGAACGGCAGAAATCTACAGTATAGAGAAGTGGGCAAAATGTAGTATGAAGGTGGAGATTTGTATATAATCCCCAGGGGCATTTTTGTGGTCCTCAAGGGTCAGAAATGGCTCCAAATATCCTCTAGGAACTATGGGGAGCATTTTTCCACTCCAGCTAGACTTTAAAAAAAAGCTAGGATGTGAACAGGAATGTCCAGTCAGGTAATTGTGTTTAAAAAAAAGCTTTATCTCAATCTAAAATGCCCCAGAGGGACATTTGGTGGCATTCTGGGTGGGGATTATTTATTTATTTAACTTCATTTATATACCACTTTTCTCAGCCCTTGGCTGACTATAACAATAGCAAAATTCAATGCTCAACCTCATAAAGACAATTAAAAACAATTAAAAATGACATAATAAACAATCAATTAAACATAAATATAACATCTCATTAGCGTCTCATAGGTAGAATCAAGATGCAATTACATCATCCGTTTTCCATATTCCTATATTCATTACACTGCCTATTCAAATGCCTGCTCGAACAACCAGGTCTTCACTTTCCTCCGAAATGCTAATAGGGAGGGGGCCGATCTAATTTATGTAGGAAGGCCGTTCCACAGCCGAGGGGCCACCACTGAGAAGGCCCTGTCTCTCGTCCCCACCAGACGTGATGCAGGCAGGACCGAGAGCAGGGCCTCCCCAGATGATCTTAACATCCTAGTTGGTTCATAGGAGATGCGTTCGGACAGGTAAGTTGGGATCACATAGGAAATGGTGCAGCCCTCCCTTCCAGAAGCAAATGTGGCCCTTTAGCTTTCCACAGCTGTCCACTTTGATGTGGAATAATAGCACAGAATTCGCTTTGAGAAGGAAGTGGATCCTATTTCAATGGCCAGTTTTGTTTCATGGATCGCTGAGACTCCCCTGAGCATGGATCAGTTGCAATCTACCGATCACGATGTAAGTTTGGGTAATCTTTACACATCTAGAAACAAGTGAAAAGGACATGAATCCATGCAGCCTTGAACCTACACTATTAAAAAAAAACAAAAATAAAATTAGCCTCTGGAAAACAGATATACTATAACCAATGCTGGCCAACATATACTAAAACCTAAAGCCTCCTATACATAAAACTGATTGTTTATTATATCATTGTTTTTAACTGTTTTTAAACTCTTTTTTATGATGTTGAGCATTGAATTTTGCTATTGTTAACCGCTTTGAGTCACCCAAGGGCTGAGAAAAGCGGTATATAAATGAAGTAAATAAATAAATAATAAATAATAAAAGAGAAGGAGACAGGAGACAGGAACAAGGAAGAGGGTAACCCAATGCTTACTATGGCTAGTTCCTGCTCATGTATACAAACTAGACTGTACATTATTTAAAATGTATGAAATACTAAAAATACATCAGACTTGGGTTGCTGTGAGTTTTCCAGACTGTATGGCCATGTTCCAGAAGCATTCTCTCCCAATGTTTCACCCAGATCTATGACGGGCAACCTATGAGGTTGTGAGGTCTGTTGGAAACTAAGCAAGGGAGGTTTATGTATCTGTGGAATGTCCAGAGAGTGGGAGAAAGAACATGTCTGCTTGAGGCAAGTGTGAATGTTGCTACTGGCCACCTTGATAAGCATTGAATGGCCTTGCAGCTTCAAAGCCTGCTGGTTGCTGGGGGGGGGGGTCACAGCAACACAGTGATTCCAGCCATGAAAGCCTTTTCAGACTTTTCAGACATCAGACTTTTTTCTTGACAATTTAAAACATCATTTGAAATACAGCACTCTGAATAAAATGGAAGAACTTTGTAAAGCAAACCTCACAGAATAGTTTTCTCTATCAAGTGAGATATCAGTGGGAAGGAATCCCACTGGAGCATTGCAGCACACCCAAAAACCTGGGAGTCACTCTGGACCGTGCTCTGACCTAAAAGAAGCACTGTCTGAATATCAAGGAAAAGGTGGGCACTAGAAATAATATCACACAAAAGCTGACTGGCACAACCTGGGGATCACAATCAGACACAGTGAAGACATCTGCCCTTGCGCTATACTATTCTGCTGCTATAGTACGCATGCCCAATGTGGAAGACATCTCACCATGCTAAAACAGTGGAAGTGGCTGTTAATGAGACATGCCGCATTATCACAGGATGTCTGCGCCCTACACCACTGAAGAAATTACACTGTCTAGCCGGTATTGCACCACCTGATATCCGCTGGGAAGTAACAGCCAATAGTGAAAGGACCAAGGCAGTGACATCTCCAGCTCATCCCCTTTTTGGGTATCAGCCAGCACATCAACGACTTAAATCTAGAAATAGTTTGCTAAGATCTACAGAGGCACTCGCTGGAACAGCTCAGCAAGCTAAAGTCCAAAAGTGGCAGGCTCAAACCCAAAACCTCAATCAATGGCTGATACCAAATGAGAGACTCCCCCCTGAGCACACAGAAAACTGGGCGACTTGGAAGGCGCTGAACAGACTCTGACACCACGAGATGCAGAGCCAACCTTAAGAAATGGGGCTACAAAGTAGAATCCACGACATGCGAGTGTGGAGAAGAGAACACCACTGACCAACTGCTGCAATGCAACCTGAGCCCTGCTACATGCACAATGGAGGACCTTCTTGCGGCAACACCAGAGGCACTCCAAGTGGCCAGCTACTGGTCAAAGGACATTTAATCAACTACCAAGCTTGCAAACTTTGTGTTTTGTCTGTTTGTTTTGTTAAAAATGTAATACAACTGTCTGGTTGCTCTTGACACGATAAATAAATAAAATCTATCAAGCTTACTTATTTGTAACTGGAGTTTTTTTAAAAAGCTAGTACAGCGCAGTGGTTTGAGCATTGGCCCATGACTCTGGGAAATCAAAGTTTCATCACAGAAACTTACAGGTGATTTTGGGAAAATTATAATGTCCTAGACTTAGAGGAACGCAACAGCAAAAACTTCCTCTGAATATTAGCAAGAAAACCCTATGACAGATTTGTGTTAGGATTGCCACAAGTCAGAAATGACCTGAAAGCACACAACAACAACAAATTTGGGATTTGAATGGCAGACTTACAATTCCCCTTGGTTCTCCTTCCATATATACTACCTTTCAGACAATTAAAATGTATGCAATGGGGCAAGGGAAGGTGGCACATCACTGGAGACTTACGGGACTTGTTGATCATTTTTATCAGCAGATTAAACACCGTCCAGTGGCTTTTGCTGTCATGGCGACTGCTGTCAGTCACCTAGAAAATGAAGAAGAAGGTCTGTTAGGAATCTCATATTCCAAGAATCTGAAACACCTGGGATGTAATGGAACCACCACCATGCAGATCACGTGAATAGTACAGCAAACAGTAGCAAACTCCAGATATTGTTAATGTTCCACAGATTCCAAACAAAATCCCAGAATATCTAAAATTGGATAAATTCCAAGGGTCATATTTTGCAAGCAGATAAGGGTATTGCAAGCAGTCAATACCGTGTTTTCCTAACCGATAAGAACAGATCTGCTAGTAGATAAGGATTTATGACCTTATCTGCTAGCAGATATGTCCTTATCAGCTAGCAAAATATGAACCTATTTTACGGTCTTCTCAAAAGCAACAGAAAACCAACTAAATTTATGCAAGTGTTTCCTGAGACTTCATGGGTTTTTTAATTTTTAAAAAATCTGTTCGAATACAATTTCTAGCTGAAATCTGTTAATCTGATACCCCAAAACGGGTTTATGGGCTCTTTGCTTTCCTACTCTTCCTTCTTATCAACCTCAGGACTCTTAGGAACTCGTTTCGCCCATTGTCCACTTTTTAAAAGCTATTTTTAAACAAGAATGTTAACATAAGGGGCTCTAGTCCTTCTGGTTTCCCAACATTTTTTTCTGTCTGAAAAATCAGAAAAACATGGTGATCTCCGTAACTCCATAATCTCCCCCCAAATAATAATAACAACAACAACAACAACAACAATAACAACAACACTTTATTTGTACCCTGCTACCATCTCCCCAAGGGACTCGGTGCAGCTTACATGAGGCCGAGCCCAAACACAACAATACAAGCAATAATAACAACAATACAAGCAATTAAAAAACATAGACCATAAAATATACAACATTATCAATAAGACAACACACAATTAAAAACAGTGGGAAGGCCAAATGTAGAGTTAAAATTGGAAATAATGCTGGGACATGGACGAAAGGTGATACTTGTCTTTGTGGAAGGGCATACGAGCAGACCTAAAGAAATATATATATATATATATAAAGTGTACCGGGCCTTCTGTTTTCTCATTCTCTCCCAATTTTGAGGCATAGTAAAAAAATGTTGAAAGATGCAATGCATCAGTGTTTCTCAGTTTTGGCAGATGAAACTTTGGATGTGAGCACCTCAAAAGCAAAGAGCCTGTTGTTGCTTTGTGAAACCTGTCAGGTTGAGTGACATGATGCAGTTTTATGTGTTGTTGAACTGTACAATGTGGTGGTGAGAACTGTTGGGTTTCATCCCTGGACTGCCCAAGTCTTTGTTTCATCAAGTTTCTAGTCCTCAATGAGTAGCTAGACTAGAGAAAGGGCCTAGCTCAGGGATTCCTTTCCCCACATTCCTTTGCATGTTTTTATTTATTTATTTACCCTATTTGTTGATGGGCTCTATCTCCCTAGAACCATGATGGTGAACCTATGACACGTGTGTCAGCACTGACACGCATGGCTATTTTTGATGACACGCGGCCACATGCGGCCGCATACAGAGAAATACACCTTATAAGAGCCAATCTAAATCCATCCTTAAATTTGTAAAAGGCTCTGCAAATTTAACATCTGCACGTTTGAGCCTAGTTCACTTCGTAACTCAGTATGGAATATACATTTTTCTTATTTAAACTATAAATATTGCAAAATTATGGGGTTTTTTTTCTCGAAGTTGACACCCCCCCCCCCCCCCCCAAAAGTTATGCTCAGGTTTTTGGCAAATTTGGACACACCAAGCTCAAAAGGTTGCCCATCACTGCCCTAGAAGGTCTGGTGGCAGAGGACTTTTTACAAGTAAAGCAAGCAGCCGAAGAAGAAAACCACACCTTGGCATATGTCAAGGAAAGCCAAGAACCTGCTTTAACTGAAGTCAGTAATCGGAAACTTCTCAAAGCACAGCAGACAAAGGACCAGTACAAGAAAACTGCACTACAAACCAGAGCTCACAGCTGGCACAACAAAGCATTGCATGAGCAGTTCCTTGACAAAACTGAAGGAAAAGTTGACAGGGAGAAGACCTGGTTATGGCTCATGAATGGAATACTGAAGAAGGAGCGAGAAGGCCTGATTCTTGCAGCCCAGGAGCAAGCCATCAGAACCAATGCAATCAAGGCCAGGATTGAAAAATCAGCTGATGACTCAAAATGCAGACTGTTCAAGGCAGCTGATGAAACCATTAATCATGTCCTCAGCTGCTGCAAGAAAATAGCACAAACGGACTACAAACAGAGGCACAACTCTGTGGCCCAAATGATGCACTGGTACTTATGTCACAGGTACCACCTGCCAGTAGTAAAGAACTAGTGGGATCATAAACCTGCAAAGGTAGTGGAAAGTGAGCACGCAAAAATACTGTGGGACTTTCGAATCCAGACTGACAAAGTTTTGGAACATAATATGCCAGATATCACGGTTGTGGAAAAGAAAAGAAGTTTGGATTATTGATGTCACTATATTGCATTGAAGAAAAACAACAGGAAAAACTCAGCCGTTATCAGGACGTCAAAATGGAACTGCAAAGGCTCTGGCATAAACCAGTACAGGTGGTCCCAGTGGTCATTGTCACCCATTGTCATAGGTACCATGCCACAAGATCTCAGCCAGCATTTGGAAACCATAAACATTGAGAAAATCACGATCTGTCAACTGCAAAAGGCCACCTTACTTGGATCTGCACGCATCATTCAAAAATACATCACACAGTCCTAGACGCTTGGGAAGTGTTCGACTTGTAATTTTGTGATACGAAATCCAGCATAGAAATCTCGTTTGCTGTGACATACTGTAGTTTTGTGTCACAATAATAATAATAATAATAATAATAATAATAATAATAATATAACCCACCCTCTTTCCCCAAAGGGATTCAGGGCAGTTTACAAAAATAACAAGAATGGCAAACATTCAATGCTTAACAAATAACAACAATCACGGCAAAACAAATAATAAAATAAACACAATATTACTTATAAACAAAAAAAACCCCAAAGGTTAAGCTAAATAAATCTATCATGCTGGCATTTCTGCCCCCTTTTTAATGCTTTGAAAGAACTGGTTTGCTGTGAGTTTTCCAAGCTGTATGGCCATGTTCCAGAAGCATTAACTCCTGACATTTAGCCTACATCAATGGCAAGCATCCTCATAGGTTGTGAGGTCTGTTGGAAACTAGGCAAGTGAGTTTTATATAGCTGTGGAATGCCCAGGGTGGGAGAAAGAACTCTTGTCTGTTTAAGGCAAGTGTGAATGTTGCATTTAGGCACCTTGATTAGAATTTACTGGCCTTACAGCTTCAAAGTCTGGCTGCTTCCTGCCTGGGGGATTCTTTGTTGGGAGGTGTTAGCTGGCCCCAATTGTTTCATGTCAGGAATTCCCCTATTTTTTTAGTGTTCCTCTTTATTTACTGTCCTAATTTTTGAGTTTTTTTCAAATACTGGAAGCCAAATTTTGTTCATTTCATTGTTTCCTCCTTTCTGTTGAAATTGTCCACATGCTTGTGGTTTTCAACGGCTTCTCTGTGTAGTCCGATATAATGGTTGTCTGAGTAGTCCAATATTTCTATGTTCTCAAATAATATGCTGTGTCCAGGTTGATAGCTCTGCTATGGCTGACTTCTCTGGTTGAATTAGTCTGCAGTGCCTTTCATGTTCCTTGATTCTTGTTTGGCCAATGCTGTGTTTGGTAGTCCCTATGTAGACTTGTCCGCAGCTGCACTTGCCTCAAGCAGACAAGAGTTCTTTCTCCCACCCTGGACATTCTACAGACATATAAACCTCACTTGCCTAGTTTTCAACAGACCTCACAATCTCTGATGATGCCTGCCATAGATGTGGGCGAAACGTCAGGAGAGAATGCTTCCAGAACATAATCATACAACCCGGAAAACTCACCGCAACCCAGTGATTCCAGCCATGAAAGCCTTCAACAACACTTTCATTAATGTACCCCACACTGTGATATATTAGTACAATTATTTGGAAGATAAGCGTGCATATGCCCACTATAGGACTTCTGGGTTTATCCTACTGTTTAAATATTTAAGCCTCTCAATTAACAAACATCCTGCTGGTCTCTTCCCGTTTTCTAAATAGTTTTGCACCTTAGCCTTCAACATACCTGTTTCCTAGACTAGATTTCAACGTATAACGCTTTTATGAGACTGTAACCCTCTTTCCTTATGCTGCGTTATGACCGCAATAAAGATTCATTTGTTTGATCAACAAACAGTCAAAATAAGCAATGTTTGCATCCCATTTTTAACTGTAATTTTTAAAAAATGTAAGCAAATATTCACAAAATCAGTAGTTCGACTCTACACGCCCTCCACTTGGGAAGTTTAGCTCTACAACCCTGTTTGTTTTTACGAGCTCCTTTCAAATAACTTGCTCCTGTTTTATCTCATTAGAGCTTTTTAACTGTCTTATCCTGTACATGCGGCCCGCCCACTGTTATCGTGATTGTGTTTATCCGAATGGTTTTTAAAAAATGTAATTTTGATGATGTTGATTGTCGGTTATGTTTTTGGTTTATTTTGTAATGTTGTCCGGGCTTGGCCCCATGTAAGCCACTCCGAGTCCCCCTCGGGGAGATGGTGGCGGGGTATAAATAAAGATTATTATTATTGTTGTTGTTGTTGTTATTATTATTACATAGAAATAAGTCCTAAGTGTTACATGGGGTTTTCATAAGATTATGCTTATTATGTTTAACCCAGTGGTGCTAAACTTGCTAACCAAAAGATCAGTGGTTCGAATCCAGGGAGTGGGGTGAGCTCCCCCTGTTAGCCCCAGCTTCTGTCAACCTAGCAGTTCGAAAACATACAAATATGAGTAGATCAATAGGCACCGCTTCAGTGGGAAGGTAAAGGCACTCCATGCAGTCATGCTGGCCACATGACCTTGGAGGTGTCTATGGGCAATGCCGGCTCTTTGGTTTATAGTAATAATAATAATAATAATAATAATAATAATAATACCTTATTTATACCCTGCTACC